TTAAAAATAAATTAAATAAAATTAATTTAATTTAAATAAATTTAAATTCATCCAGAGCTATTTGGCTTTGCCCTTCCTTAGCCACCAGCCATGCATTCCCACACTGCTCCCTTGCATCAGCACTGGCACCTGTCTGATCTCTCAGCAAGCCACTTCAGGGAGGCAAACCAGCATGGGGATTAGTTTTCTATTCAGCTCCTTGAATCAGGTCACCACAGAGTCAAACACACTCTATGGCTGATCCTGGCCTTCCTGACTTTGGATTGGCATAAACTGATACAGAAGTGCCTCAATAGTGTTAGGCAGTAACTTATAAAGCTAAAAATATATTTCAGAAGCCACTCTCCATCCTGATTGCTTATAGTTCTGTTTGAAAACCACACTACCAGCATCAACTATAATTTTCTTCAAGGGTGTATTTTAAGGCACAGAAATTGTTTAGACAAGTCGCACATTAGATTCCCCTGCCCTCCATAGATGGCTACAAAGATATCACTGTAGAAACCAAACTTGTAAAAATGTTAAAAGAAAGACTTTAAAAAAAAAAAAACAAAACAAACCTCACGCAACAGCATTCTTCTTACTACTCACCTGAGCAACAAGTAGATTTGTTGTAATCATATGAGGAAGCTGTTTGTATTTCTTACTCAGAAGAACAACAGTAAGAGACCAGATCTGTCACATAAATAAAAATTTAATTTAGGAGTAAAACAAACCCCAAAAGAACAAGATGAGTATTCTGGCAGACTACGGTGAAATTAAATACACAACAAATCTTCTTGAAAAGTTTCTTAGCAACATGACTACTGTAGTCAGCTCCACACCATCTGCTGCCAGTCCTTGTGCCTCAGCAACTATAGCCAGAGAAAGCAATGCATCTTTGTGTTCTCATGATGGTAAAATATTTCCAGGAAGCACCAAGAGCTTGCCTCTAGTGTGCAGAAGCCTGGTTGTTCCTTAGGACATAAATGACCACACAGTAGCCTGGCAATTTAGAATTTAAAATTCCCCTCCTTCCCTGAATCTCCCAAAATGACCTGTGACAGCAAGGGGCAGCGTTCACTTGTGGCTTCCCCTGAGGCACAGTTCAGACAGCTTCAGTAAGACAAGTTAAGAAAATTCCAACTCCCTCCAACATGGATGTTTTTACTTTAAAAAAGCAAACAAAATAAACACGCTATCTGTAGTGCCTATAAAGCCAAAACACAATTCACATTGGACTTCTGGATTATCAACCCACTTTTTAAGAACTGTGCACCCAGAATTTCTAGGAAAGCAATTTGATAAAACTAAATTAAAACTTCCAAGTTCAACATTTTCATTAATACTCATTAATACTTCATTAAATAAATATTCGCTGACATTTCTGGAGCTGAAGTTTGTACACAGCCTCCATTACTGTGATATCCAAGCACCTCACATGGCTTGATGAAATTATTCCTTGTGTAAGCTAGTACTGTTATTCCCCCACATCTTGTTATTTAAAAACAAACAAACAAAAAAAACCCCAAAAATGAAAAGGACAAACTCTTAAGCCCTGCACTAGTGCTCTAATTCACTTACCCATCTTCCTCTACAGTGCAGCTTTCCAGCTCACCCACTGTTAAATCAAGAAGATTTTTAACTCCTTCCTCATCCTTCTGCAACAGGATACGATGGGGAAATGAGTTGTCTTACCATGACTTGATTTGTTGCTTATGTACTAATGCTACCCTGACATGACAGTGTACTTTTGTATTTCACTTCATCAACACCTACCAGAGAAATGAGGCTGACAATACTTATGTCAAAGCTAACATTTTGGAGTGCAGGTGCCAGTGGGTTGGGGTCCATAGATGGAATGGTCAACAGCCACGCAGAAACATACATAATAGGTGCAGACACAAACGTGCTTATCACCATGCCTGAGGTAATCTGCAAAGAGAGTCAAACAGAAACAAGAACAGAGTTAATCAGATCTCAAGCTAAATAATCTGTGTTCACGAATACAACCACTGACAAAATTGTACCTTCCAATTAAACATACATAGACCTTGAACAAATCAGAGTTGTTTCTATAACAAATTATTTAGAATTCGAGCCAGAAAGTATCCATTTTATACATAGAGTTAAACTGAAAATTTTAACAAGCTTCTGAAACAGTAGGAATAGAGAGTTCCCTACTGCAAATTCTTACAGAGCTTTTTCATGGGTGTCAAATAAACTAATGACTACAGTCCAGGGGTGGATTTACAATGTTGCAATTTACTTTTGGATGCAAAGATTCACACCATAAATAAATAAATAATATGCACCAATTCATGAGAAGAAGCCATATATATTTGCATTTAAGTGATTTTTATTTTGGCTTCTCATTGTCTTTCTGCTTTCTAGAATTTGCACAGCAAAGGAAGCGTGAATTGCTACTCATACTATAGATACTACAGATCTCTGTTTTGAAGAGATTTCCTGAGTTTGTTGGGCACAAAATTCTATCTTGTAAGGTTTACTTTAGTGGTCTTTTTTTTGTTTTTCCTTTTCTTTAAAAAAAAAAAACAACAAACAAAAAATAGATAACATTAAAAACAATGGAAGTCAACAGGAATGTTTTAATGTCACTTCAAGTGGAAGAAAGGAAACAGTTATAAAATTTGTATTTTAAATTGAAAAGATAATTGATACCGTCTACTATTAAAAAAAAAAAAAAGTAAAATGCATTTCTATTGCACGATTTAACTGAAGGGCAACACAACAGAATCAGTTAAAGCATAAGTTCTTCCATAAGTTTTCAGCATTAAGCTAATGCTGTTCCTACTGAAGTCAGCAACATAATTACTGTTCTTTCCTTCAAAAACAGTACCTCAAAGATAAGATCTTTGAAAAAAAAAAAAAAAAAAAACACAACAAAGATACAAGTTCTTTATATTTAAAGTTATCCTAGTTCTTCCTACTAGAGTCACGAATAGGAAAAGTATGAGGACTTATTAATGAACATATACTATCAAGACACTTGAGACATTAGGAAAGAGTACTCTGCTTAATTAATAACCTGAAAAATAATTTATAGTTGATATCTTCGGAGTATAAGTAAATCTTATAAGCAAATCTAAGGAGTCAATACTACCGAAAAGCAAATTCACCAAGCCTACTTATTTATTTAAGTATTTCATCAACAAATATAAGCTCCAAGTTAGTACATGTTTCGGAAAAGCTAACTACATACAATTCCTACTTCCATATTAAATTGACTTGCAAATATTGCGACACCAGGTGCTGCTGGAAAAACTCCATAAAGAAATGCATAGTTTGATAAACTGGTGTGGTTGACTGCGCTGTCACTCTTGTCCAATAGTTCCACCATTTCTCTACAGAGAAATGGCATCATAAGTCTGAAAAGAGAGGGGAAAAAAGTAATTAAAAAAAAAAAATTACTCAGGCCATAGCAATAGACTCTTCTTTACTCAGAAAATGAACCCAAAGGAAAATAGTATTCAAACAAGCCTTAAATTATGAACAGCAAAATACTGACATCACTTTGAATGATTGCCTTTACTGTTACCATGACATTTACCAGCTGCTTAACAATTTCATGTCATAAGTTAAACAAAAAAAACCCATACACAAAAGAAACATTAAAAAAGACAGCAAACTCTGGGAAATAAGCACATTCTCTGATTGTGCAGACACGTTCTTTGTATAAGCCTGAGATTTAGAAAGGTAAAATATAAAAAACCCCCCTCATTTTTCAACTGTAAAAGTAACAGTAGCTATAAGCAGCCAGCAGCTTTGAAACTTAGACCACCTTTCTGCAATCTGTGTGAAATATAACAAGGGCTCAAGCTTAAGTATCCTATTCTGAAAGTTTCGGCCAGCAAAAAAAACCCCAAAACCCTGCATCAATGCTATTCTGTTTGCCTTTAGCAATACCCCAGATCTCACACGGACTCACTATGTAAACCTTACACAGGCTAATTACATAAACTCACCAGTAAAGCAAAGTGGTAACATTAAAAACCATTTTTTCTCATGTTCTTACAAAATTTATCATTAAGCTGGTTTACAAGCAAGGTCTTTAAGTTTGCTAGTTAGTTGTACTGATATTCCAATGCATCTTCAAATGTTACAGTATAAACTTAACCACCAAACAATTGTTCTATTATGTTAATTGTAGCTCCATAGCAAATAAAATATTTAGTTCACCAGTAACTGAGACATATTCAAGGGAAGATAATGATGGCATAAGTTCTAAATACAAATGGTCATTTATTCATGCTTAAAAGTCAGACAGTTTAAGAGTGTAAAGCAATCATTTTTAAGCTCTTCCAATATAGCAGTTTCAAAGATTTCTAGACCAAGGTAAACCAACTCATTGAGACGTATTGTGTAATCCAAAGAAAATACAAACACTAATAAAATAATACTTAAACTCACTCTTGTCTAACTATTTAACTAGTAAATTTTAATTTAAGCTAGTAATTCCCCAAACATCCAATTTGTGACAGATGGCCTGCAGGCAGTCCATGAAGCCACAGCACCCCTGAATTTTCGTCTCTGCAGAGCCCAACAACAGGTTTGTGGTGCGCAAAACTTCTTTTAAAAGAAGTTGACAGTTGTATACTATCAGAGTTTGGGAAGCACTCTCCCAAAATACTGGAAGTGAAACATACTATCACTATAATGATTTTGAGAGAAAAGACATCTGACCAGTATATTCAGAGCTTAAAGCGTCTAGAGAACAAAATTATAGAAGTACATAAATAGAACTTACAGTTTAGCTGTGATGAGAAGGATCAGTGCAACAAACATACCCTTTGTCAGTTTTTTTGTTTGTCCCACCATAGTTAGTCCAAGGTAAAAAAGTGCGGAGCCAGAAAATGAACTGCCCAGTCCATCAAGGAAGTTTTCAAGATATTCGGGAATTTTCTGGCCAAGAATAAAGTTTGAGGCAATTCCTATGAAGACCATGAATACAATTGGGTTCTGCAAAACTCGAAGGAGTGCTAGGCCCACTATTTTGATTTTGCTCTGTGACACAGTGCGATTATCCCTCCACTTCTGGATTTCACAGAAGATAAACCCAAGAGGGTTTAGCATCATAAGAGATATTGGAGCCACTAGGTAAATGTACTGGAGATATTCTGGGTAAGTGGTTTGATATAAAGCTTCAACTAGAAGACAGGAAATGAAAAGTGATGAGTGATAACATTTCAGTACAAAAACACATTAATATTGAAATTAAGTTTTGTTGTCTGAAAACTAGAGAAAAATGATTTCATTATCCTTCAGAAGTAACTACATTTACAATCGATATAAGATGATATAGTAAGAGAAGTGTGCCAAATCCCCATTAGGCCACAGTCATCTAATGAACACATTAAAGATCAAAGATTAACCACCTAACACTATTTAATGATTCTATGAATAGTCAGTGTTTACAAGAAAAAAAAAAAATGAAATATAACAATCCCACACGCCCTTTGAGTCACCCCAAATGCTGAAAAAAGTTGGTTTTTTGCTGAATTGCTTTTCCTCCCCAGAAACATGACAGTCGTGGAGAATAACATGCACCTTTGCAGGACACAAGTTGCTTCTCATCTCAGGGGAATCCCACATCTTTGGAATTTAACCAGTTTTCAGTGGGTAAATCAGGTGTAATCTTTCTATGCCGATTCTGTACAACACAGCAAAGCACCAACCAAATAGAAAATACATTAGCACATAATTATTAGTTCATTTTCTGGGGCTACTCAGGACAAGAGTTATCGCTGTAGTTCTGGTCCCTCAAGGAACTTTAAATCCTAAGCATTTGTTTTCATTGCTACCACAAACTTGTGAGTCAAGGTAGAACTGCTTTTTATTTCAAGTTTGTGCTAACAGATTCAAAAATCATGAAAAGACTCTGGAAAGACATATAAGATTATAACCCACAGTATTTTTAAAGTAGGATTTTGTTCTCTTTTCATTACAGTAGCCTATACTAAGGCCAGGAAAGTCACTTGTAAAGCTGCAAGGTCTAGAATCCTGCAGATGTTTTTGGTCTCCCTATTATAATTTCATTATTTCATATTGAAAAACGGAAAAGAAAAAGGAGAAATTATGCATATGAAGCACTTTCTCACCTAAGCAGTAAAATAATGTTTAAAGTGCCATCACTGCTTCATTTTTGCATTTTAAATGTGTTTTATAAACAAAGAGTTCAAGTGATATTACTTTATTTTAAAACTTCTAGGTCTATACTGTTGTATTTCCTATACATGTATTAAATGATGAATTAAATCTACCAAAATTGCCGTTTAGCTGGTTAACAATACAGAGTTTATCTGTTCTTCCCCAGGCAAAAGTATCTTAATATGCAGATGCAATTCTATTTGTACTACAAAGAATATAAAAAAAAGGAAGGACTATTGCATAAATATACCTACTGGACCTTTCTATGGGTTAACTTAGCACTCAAAGTACTAAATAAAGTTTAAGATCACTAAGCAGCCAACTGTTGCAGGTATTTCCGTTTCCCCATGTACTAAACCTGTTCTTGTTCTGAAAAAGTTTTCCCTCGTGACTATGTTTTTCAAAATCCAAAAGATTTTTACCTTCATATTAGTTAAGCATCTGGAATGACAGGATCTACTAAGCGCTAAATCAGCATTTACTATAAACAGCCTTCTCTTTAGATTGAATAAACTGACATTTGCAATTATTTGATTTCCATTATATAAGAAGGAGCACTAAAGGTGCTTTTCCTCTTACAAACCAAGATTAAAGTACATATACAAGAGCACCTGTCCTAAAATCCTGACTGAACTGCTGAACAGAACTATCAAGTTTGTAGTTAGTTACTGCATTTAACAAGCCAGTTTTAAACACTAAATATATTCTGATAAATAACACCACTTTAAACATGCTGGACACTTTTTATGTAAGTAAAAATTTTCTAAAACCCCAAACCTTAGAGCAATGCTTTTATGCTGCTTTACACAGAATACCCATTTCAATCAAATGCAACTCAACAAAAGTCACATGTAAATAATGTCTGAGTGAAATATGTAGTAAACCATTGTTTTTTGGCAAAGTGAAACTGTATACTTAATACAATATATTAAGTTCTATAAATAATTTAACTGAGGTATGAAGTCACAATGCATTTTCCTGGGTAGCATAAAGTGGAACCAGTGTAGATTGCTGAGTCAGTGGGAAAAAAATCAGAAATCATGCTTAAGGAATCATTAAGACAGTGAAAATAATCCACAACTATCTCCAATGAAAAAATTTTCTTTTTATTTAAATCAAGGTGTCTGCTGCTGATCATAACAGAAGATTGAAATTAAAAGATATTTTAATACTTTTTTAAAGAAATCAAATTTCCACATCCCAGCTGCTTAAAATTACATATAAATCACACACTAGTTGTTTATGCTTAATACAATTAGCACCATTAGTCATGGTAACTGAGCCATCATCCACACAACACTTCTGCTACACCTATGCTTTAATACAGCACTGGAGAGTAGATGAAGCTGTTCTGTCAGAGTTGTATCATCTCACCTAGTAATAAAAACCAAAAAGACAAAGCTTGCTATCATAGTAATTCTATCTGTATCAGGAGGTCTGCTAGCAAATCTCCGTACCAGTTGTTTTTCTCTCCAAACCAACATCAGTTTGTAGTGTAGAACTGTCATAACAGTGATTAGAGAAAATCAGTGGTGATGTTTGAAAATTTAATCTATATTTCAATTTTCCTATGTGCAAATCTTTGCTCAACAGCAAAAAATAGCATAGTGGTTATTAAAGAAAAAAATAATTACACAGGATGAAAACTCAGGACCTTATTTATCTATTTAAGAGTTCAAACTGCCTTTTTAAATAGCATTATTGTAATACACAGATCTGTCAATACTGATTTTTTTCCTTTACAAATTTCAACTGAAGCAGCCTTTAAAAATATATTTCCATCAAAAGATCAGTTTTTGCTCAAAACACTACCTACTGTCATACACAAAAAGAAATAAGCAACGCATTCTTTGTTGCCTAGTCCTGCAAACACTTCAGAGAAGCCACTACCAGTAAAAAGTTTGCACACCTGACAGCATGAACCAAACATTGCTGAAAGTTTGGGGATGGGACAAGGGAAAGGACAGGAAAGGAAATAAACAGCTCTGAGAAATTAACAACCCTGAAGCGCCTACAGTCTTGCTGTTGCATTAAGTATTCCAGTAAAGCTCTTAATGAACTAAGTGTTGTGAATTTGGCTACATTGTACATAGAAGAAATATTTTGTAAATCATGAAATATTTGAAGAAAAATGCAATCTGACAAGAAAGTAATTCGAAGTAGAAATAATGTTTTAACTAGAAGGATACAATGGAAATATGTCCAGACAACCTCAAAATAGAAAAAAAAAAGAGAAACCCTAATTGGCATTTTAATCCAGTAGCAAGAAACAAAGACACCACAGTCCTCACAGCCTTCTGTGTGATACACTTATGATTTCTCTCAAGAGGAATAAACCTCAGGAGATGCAACTGAAGGAAACAAGGTATTTTCACCCAGGGAAGAAAAGTTTGCAATTGCATTTGTCTGTATTTTATACATCCAGCAAATTTGAAGAGAGTAAAAAAGATTCAAGATTCTCCTGAGCATGCTGCCCTGGAAAAGGGAGAATAAAACTGCCAACTCCTCCATCTAAAATATGGAGCTACCTGTTGTTACATATAATCTGGAATTGCATGTTTAAGCTTCCTTTTTGTGACTGTATTTTCAATTCAGTAATCAAGTATCTTGCTTTTTGCTTTGCTAGAACAAACTTGCTTTCTTTTTTGTTCTTAACCTTGTCTGGGTGATAAAAGTGATCTCAAGAGAATTTGAGAGGCACAGAGCACTTTCTCTTCAGGGAGCAGCAAACAAATAAAACATAGTCCAGGCATCCTCTCCAAATGCCTTCCACTTGAGGTGTATTTTAAAGATCCTGATACCTGCAGTGTGTGTTCCCACACCAGCCACATGGGTCAGCCTGGGGAGAGGCAGGAATGAAAGCTACATTGGCACACAAGAGCCTCTCAAGGCAGGTAAAAAGCACTGCAATTCAGATGGTAGCAGGTGGGAGAAGCCTGCTACAGCTCCCAATCACTTCCTAAGTATCATAGTATGTATGGCTAAAAGCATATTAACATACCATTAAGAAAACCTATCAAAAGGAAAAAGGAAAAAAAAACCAACTTCCTTACCAAAACGAAAGAAAGTAATAGTCTTGCAGATTCTGATAAAATTAAGTTTAATAACTGATATTGCTTGAAATTCAGAATCTAGGCTTACAAGAACAAGAGTACACAGTTATACAAGTTATACTCTGAATGCCTCTTTGTTTTTGTTTGTTTGTTTCTTAGCTTCACTGGACTAGTGGTTAGTTACACATCCCAAGAATGGCACCACAGCTGCATAAAATTCCGATTTGAGATACACAAATGCAAGTTACCACAAATCACGCAGCAACCTTGCTTTTAAAAGACAGACTTCTTCCAAGACTATATCCTAAAGCATGTCTACTGGCCACAACAGAATAAAGATTAAGGGATAAAATATGATTGGCTACATAAATTAAGTGGCACAAAAATGAGAAGTTTCTTCTGAACAGATTTAAAGTTTGTCACACACTCCACAACCAGTAGGCATCAACATTATGGACAGATGTTTTCTTTGAGCTAAGCCAAGAGGTAATGCCAAATGAGTAAAAAACACACTACAGCTATTTCAGAGACCACAGGTACCGGCTCACACTTTGCAAAGCAAGACATTTTGGTCTTGAGGGAAACTTTGGCAATGTAAGGTAATTTATACCAGTTTTGAAATTATATTTTAAATCCTTCCCCCCCACCCCGATCTGATTAACATTACAAGATTACATAGACCATAGTAGTTGGATTGTTTTAAATTCTGCCTCATTCATACCAGTTGACAGTTTTCTTCCCTTACATGGCCTGAGGTCAAGAAAAGTGACTTGAGAAATGGCTTAGATAACTCATAACTTCAGTTCAGAATTCAGTTTCAAATTACAGAAAAATAAAAGCAAACATGTCTAGAACACTGAAAAATAGTTTTAAAGAAGAAAGCATAAGGAACTACTTACCTATTGGATATCCCAGTGCAAAGTCATTGCTTTGTGTAGCAAAAATAGGGAACAAACCTGCTTTGCTAAATCTGTTCTCAGGACTGGCTACCAACAATGTTAAAACGCAGACTAAGAAAAACACAGCAGCTTTGGCAACTAAAATACTGTACAGGAAGGACCAATTCACATTAGAAAAGTTAAGTACCACCATGTTTTTGAACAGTAGAGCTGGGAGTGCAAAACGGGACACAAAATTTCCCAGTCCTTTGGCCTGAGTTGTTGTGATAATGTTGGCTCTTCCAGCTATGTAGCCACAAAGAATTATTCCAAAGCATTCTAACAAGGCTGGGAAAAGCCTGCTTATTGACATAGAAGGAGTACCGCCAGTGGTATTGAGTCCAACTTGTCCAGGCAAAGAAATAGACATATTAGCTGAAGATGAGAGGTTCTGTGTATTGAAGTCTGAATAGTTATCCATTTCCTTTGACCACGTCTTCCAAAAAAAGAGCTTGAAATGATCTCATCTGTAAAACAAACACAAAAAGTATTTACTTCAGCTTCCAAAACTGTGTTTGTGAATATTTATGGAATCAGGCTTGCTGACAGAAGAATTTACACTTACAAGTGCATTACAAATAAATAATGAGACAAATAATAAGTAGCTACAGAGAAACAACCCTGAGAATGAAGAATGATGAAAAATCATTCCATACACACATCATCTTCACACTTCTTCTCACAAGTCCACATAATTCAACAAGACAACTGATAGAGGCTAAAAATTCCCCAAGAAATTTGAGGGTAACACTGAAATATTAAAACTAAATGTAGACTGGGCATTCAAAAGGCAAAAAATCCGCTGGAAGGAAAAGCCGTATAACAAGGATTTTTTTGCTATTATTCTAGCATGCTTCGCATGCATTCCTTGCTTTCCTGAACTACCATTATAAGCCTAGTTAACTCTCTAACAGGAAAGCATGAGACTCTTTACATACTTGTTAGCAGCTTATAACCTTTCTTACCTCCTCAACTCACTGTCAATTCCCAACTACAATTCTCACATACTCTTTGTTTTCAACTATCAAACTGTTAGTTTTCTTTTCTAACTCCTTTTGTTTGCCCCAGGATATCTTATCTCAGGTCCTCCCTAAACCATGTCCTCCTTGGTTCTTTTTCCTTCACAATAAAAATACACTTTAAAGTTGCAATATTAAATCCCATCCTTGACCCCCCTTTAACTGCTGCTGTTCACCTCTGCTTCCACACGCTCAGCTTTACGCATGGTCGGGAGTCCTCCTTCACCTCCATCTTTAGATCCTATTTAATCCAGGTTCTGCCCCTAAAACAGCTCTTAGCAAAATCCCGAGAGGCCAAAATATTCTTAAACTCTTAGAACTGGTGTTCCATTTTCATCCTTTGTGACCATCATACACCTTTATCGTAATCATTATCTTCCTCAAATTTTGCCCTTCCCATATCTTTTGTAATTACAGCTCCTCCTAGCCGTCTGTACTCCATACATCTCCTCCCATCTCTACTTGTTCCTGTAATATTTACATGGGAAGATTCCTCTAAGTTTCTGTGGGTGCATATAGGGCTTGTTCCTCTTCTGTCTCCTTACATCCTCTGCCTGTGTATTTTCATAAGCACTTACTCAATAATAAATAGAGCGCTCTTCCTAATCCAGACCTATCTTCTGTTAAAACTATCATCACAGCCCGTCTCCAAAACCTCTTTTATGAATATCCTGCTGTCAATTCAAGTCCAATGAGCCTGAAACTGTTCTCCTCCCCAACAGATACTCCCTCAGTTACTGTGCCGTGTATCTGTTTTCCTAGAGACAAGTGACAAAGGTTACAAAATCCTCTAATTTCAGGGAAATGCAAACGTACTGAACTCATATTCATCTATAATTCTGTTGCAAGGAAAAATCTTCATAGTCTATCAGTATCAGTTCTTTTTTTTTTTTGTACATTATTCTACAGACTCATTCTCCGCACATCAAAAAAACCTTGGTTTCATATTATTTCACAGTCTAAGCTTATGCCCTCTTAATCTATCACAGAATAACAAGACGAATGGTCCTTATAAGAACATGAGTACCAGGCAAGGAAGATAAATTTGACCAAGTAGTGTCGCTTCTCCACCCTGGCACAAAAACATTTGGCAAGGCCCTCTCTACCTTTGAGAAAGATTGAGAGATCAAATCATCATATCACCCTTCAAGCTTGTACCTAGCTTTGCGCAACTTTGACCTCTCCCAGTGTTTCAGTATCATGGGCTAATGATACACTTTCCAGTTAGCAAGCGATCAACATATGACACAGTGGCCAATGATCTAATTCGTCACGCTATTGCTTACCCATATTCCTACATACAATTCTTTAGGCCTGCAAGAGTTGACATTTAAGTATGCATTAAGTATTTATGTACAACAGATATGTCTTGCAACTCCTGATCTTCACTTGTTACCAGCGATCCCCTTTGAAAGGGCTGACTATAACATAGCAGGTTCTATATGCCAGTAGACACGTAAAGTCTGCAGATCAGATGAAGAGAGAGGACATCAAACACCAATATTCAGTGGTCAATAGCAACGTCTTGCCAGAAACAGATATGGCTTTGGTGATACAGCTCTGAAACACGTGCAGTCCATCAGCTAACTCTGCATACAAAATTTTGACATGACTTAAGTCCTAAAGTACTCTGGAAAGGAAATCATGATAATTTACCCCATTTTGTATAGACAGAAACTAAGGCAAAAGCGGACTGATTTGCCATAAGCCATTTAACATACCAGTGGCAAACTGAGATTCCCAGTTCCCCAACCAGTGCTTTGTACAGCACAATGGCTAGATCTGTGCAAATTAATGACTGGTTTAAGAGTCTTCCTAGCCTCTTTGTATCCTATCCTCAGGGAATAGAGAAGTCCTAACACTCAGGTAAATAAGCAAGTAAATCAAGTCAGAGCAAAGGTGAGATCTTGTATGCTCTATTTCACACCCTGGCATCCAGCATGCACATATTCACATGCAGCATAAACTCTTTGACTCATTACTTTTATTTATGCCTGAGGCTTTTAGTAAGCAATCCTACAATGCTGTTGTACTTTATCTGGACTGAGCAGCTGCACCATCCAAATCTGTCCAGTAGCCTTGGCTACCTCTTTTCCCAAGGCAAATGAGTCTCACTCCAAGTAGGGCTTATTTCAAAGGTTGTATTTTTCTTATGTTATAGATGATACATTCACCTAGATGTATTTGGACCAGGAGCCCAAAGCATTATCTACCATAGAAGGGTGGAAAAATTTGCAATAAATAAAGCAGACAACAAACCATTTCTTCTACTAGCAAAACTTAAGGAAGTTGTTGGGATTTGCAAAATGTCCAAAAGAGGATCAGAGGCAGATTTCCAACACGGAATTTTTGAAAGCAGCCAGCCACATTCTACACTAGCTGCAAGGTGAAAAGCAGGTTTTTGGCACAGCCCCACCTCAAATTCTTCAAGGTTGCAGTACTGCATAGAGGTAAAACTCCTGGCAATGCAACATATTCAACCTACTCCCTGCTCTGTTAATGTATTTTTTCAGCAATAAGATAAACGTGAAGCTTTTTTAACCAAATGCAACATTTGATCTGTAGTGGAAGCGTACTTTGGCTGTATCTGTCCTTAAATTCTGCCATTCCTTCTCATCACCCATGCCTTCTTATCCAAGACTGTATCTTTTAACACTGTGTCAATACTAATGACAAAGTTTATTTTCTGATATTCTTAACTGACCAAAGCCACAGTCTACATACAGTTCATATAGACTTTTACCACTATAACATCTCCTTCCTCTCTTTCTCTCCTGAAAAGTGGTTTGAGCTATCCAGGCTTTTTGTTTGCACAGACTAAGCCTTCACAAGCGAGTCTATCAATATAGCTACACAAGCCCATACTTTTAAACCAAAATCGTGCCTAAATTAATTGAACACCTCTCTTCCCTCTGTATTAACATTATTACTTCTCCTCATAAAATCACTACAAAATATAGGAGTGCCCTTGTTCCCATTTTATAGTTCAGGACTTAAATAGATATGCAGAAGACTAACTCTCTAGTTGTATCAGTCAGCAGCATGTGCTAAATCCTTTATCTTCCTCACTAGATCAAAACTGACATGGATATACGCCCACACATCCTACAACCATCTTTTGTAGAGTGCCACAAATATTCCTGCAGCCTTCCTTCAGGCTATCTTCACCTTGAACTTCATTACAAGGGGCCTTGTAAAGTCAGTCATGCCAAATCTTTGGTGAACCACATGAGTTTCAAAGAGAGAAACTGCATCACAGTAAAACCGCTACTGGCACTCCTTAGAGGGCTTTGAGTGCACATTATCTCTTCAGCTCCAGAGATGTGCATGTCCCAAAATATTCACATTTAACACAGATTATCTAATGCAGAGCTGTGGGTATTCTCCAGAACCGCAAGCTCTTGCAGAGCATGCTGCTTAGCACAGTGAATACATCTCTCGGCCCCTTTTGCTCTATAGGATACATACATTTACACAACTGTTATGAGATTATGTAATGACTAATCACAGATTTAACACACAGCCTTATCACACCTGGGCTTAACTCAAACTAGCATCTCACATGAGCAAAAATGTCTTCAATTCCCAGTACTTAATGAAATTGAAGATGACGCAAAACCAAAACTTTACATATTCTGCACAGAAACTCATCTGTTCTTACAGTAGATGTAATAAATTAACTAGTCAAATGACACTAAAATAAGAAAATATAACACAGTCCCAAAGGAAAGCCCTTAGCTCTGACTCCATAGGATGTATGATTTGTGGTTATCCCTTCAGGGATTGAGATTTGAATCCTTGAAAACTCAGACACAGCTGCACTGTTGGGAACTGCCGGCCAATGAAAACAAAGCTTTTAGGAATAACGCGGCCTTATCTGCTGTTGACTGTGTCAAGCGTAGCTGCTTGCAGCCAGACTGTCAGCTTGCATTCGTAAGGAAGGACAGAGCAGCCAGCACGAGAGGAAGCCTGGTATGAAGACCAACAATAGACAGAGAGCAAGGAACAAGTGCAGTTTACAATTCCCTTGAAACAAACTGGAGCACTGATATTTGCCCACTTCTCTCGTAGGCTGTCAATATTTGTAAAGTGTTAAAATTCACCAGACCAGAAACTCAATTCTCCAGCAGCTGTGAGTTAAGCAATATCAGGTTCCTCTCCGAGTACCGAAATAGAGAAGTTGTCTCCTTTTCCAGCAGGAAAATCCCTTTCATCATCTTTTTTAATGAAAGTCAAGGACGGTATGAGAGAATAGAAGAGATACGTACATCTCTCTGGTCTCCCACTCTCAAGCTTTCAGCTGATAATCACTCTCAGGATAATTCTGGTGACACTGGCTAGGCTCTGCACATTGTTCATAAATTATGTCCCACAATGTGGCCTCATTTCCTACTTTAATGCA